GAGACTTTTCCAGTGGCTGCCTACGTCCCAGAGCCTTCTACCCTCTTCAGACCCATGGCCCATGGATCAGCCATGTGACTCGGGGAGCCTACCTAGAGGACCAGCTGACCTGGGACTGGGGCCCTGAGGGGGAGGAGACTGAGACACAAAGTTGTCCTCCCCACACAGAACATGGTGGTGAGGAGGAGGCCTTTGGGGTTTAGTTCTTGGGGGTGCTTAGATCTATGGTACGGACTTCAAAGGTGAGTTGTGAGATCCCCACTTAGATGGTCACCTCTTCTCCCTAGCCTGTGGCCTGCGGCCAGAGCCTGCTCCAACGGGGCTCCTGTGGCCCTGGCTGGCAGAGGTGCACGTGGCTGGTGATCGAGTCTGCACTGGGATCCTTGTGGCCCCAGGCTGGGTCCTGGCAGCCACTCATTGTGTCCTCAGGTGGGTTTCGCCCATCTCCTGGGCAAGAGGGAAAATTGGGAGATGAGCCAAAGGATTCTTGAAATAGTGGGCTCTTTTGAGGCTCTTAGAACACAGGGAAACTTCTGTGAAGTGTTTTGAGACAAAAGAGACATTTAGAAGAAGCAAATAATGAAGGAGTTAGTGGAATCACCCTTTCCCCCAGCCTGGAAAAGACTAGCAGTAAGGAAATGAGGGTGGAGGGTGGGCAGGAGGTAACACTGGATCTTGTTTTAACAGGCCAGGCTCTACAACAGTGCCTTATATTGAAGTATACCTGGGCCAGACAGGGACCCACCCCCTCCCACAGGGCCACCAGGTATCCCGGTTGGTCATTAGCATCCGCCTGCCCCGGCACCTGGGACTTCGCCCCCCTCTGGCCCTCCTAGAGCTGAGCTCCCGGATTGAGCCCTCCCCTTCAGCCTTGTCCATCTGCCTTCACCCAGGGGGTATCCCCCTGGGGGGCAGCTGCTGGGTATTGGGCTGGAAGGACCCCCAAGACCGAGGTGAGAGCCCTGGGTCCTGGGGGTGAGAAGTGACTGGAGGCTAGAGTCCCTGGGACAACCCTCTTTCTTCTCTCTAGTCCCTGTGGCTGCTGCTGTCTCCATCTTAACACCGCGACTCTGTCACTGCTTCTATCAGGGTATTCTCCCCCCTGGGACTCTCTGTGTCCTGTATTCGGAGGGGCAGGAAGACAGGTGTGAGGTACAAGGGCCTGGGCATCCTGGTCCAGGGAGGGGAGAGGCAGTGCTGGGCAGAGAGAAGAAGGTTAAAATTCTTGGGTGTTGGGTCCAAAATGGATAGAAGCAGTGCTTCCTGGTTGGACCTTAGAGAGCGACCAGGGGCTGGATGGCTAAGGATGGAGACAAGCAGAACTTTGTGGCTGGACCCTAGGAGAAGGTGCAGGGGACCAGGGACCGGGAGAAGGGTAAGTGACCCCTTTGGCTTTGGCTTTTACTCTGCAGGTGACCTCAGCACCTGCACTCCTGTGCCAGAGTGAGGGTGGCTCCTGGGTCCTCGTGGGCATGGCTGTTAGAGGGAGCCGGGAGCTGTTTGCCACCATTGGCCCTGAAGAGGCCTGGATCTCCCAGACAGTGGGAGAGGCCCATTTTTTGCCCCCCAGTGGCTCCCCCTACTGGCCCCCTGAAGGTAGCAACCTCTGTCCTCTGGACATGGCTGGAGCCTCAGGCTCTCCTCCTGCTGCTTTGTTCCTGCTGCTACTGACACCCCTAATTCAGGGCTGAGGGGTCTGGGTCCATGGACCACCTCCCCTTCCCCACCCCCTCCAGCCCTCCACTTCCCTCCCAGTGGGGTTGGAATGTGACTTAACCAGTTTCGATCCCTTTGCCAGAACTTCCCGAGCTCCCCACCCACCTAGACTGCAATGGCTTCAGATAATTGAGCTTCAGTGCCCAGATATTTTGTGCCCTGGAATCCTTGGGGACAGCGGGAGTGGACAATAAAGGTGTAAACAAAGACACATGGCCTTGTGGCATTGCTGAGGGCAGGCTGGGGGGCTAGAGGGAAACCCAAGGAGTAGGGCCCCTCCCTCCTGGGCCTCTGTGAGTCAGGTCTTGGGCTCCCAGGAAATGTGTCCCTGATAACGTGGCAGCTATCCCTCATTCCTGCCTCAGGGTGGGGGAGGTTGGGCCACCAGCTGGGTGTGTGTCACCTCCCCAGTGGAATCAGCATCCCCAACACCTGCTGGACACCTCAACCCTAGCTCTGACCCTGCTGCCCCTCCCCCAGAGTAAGAAGGACTGAGGTTGAGGGTCACAGAAGGAAGGGTCCAGGAATCTGAGAGTCCAGGGTCTGTTTACAATATCAATATCGATATCAATATAGATATAGATATATCGATATCAATATAGAAATATAGATATAGATGATATATAGATATATGGAGCCATCCCCATCTCCACACCCTGATGAATGATATCCCAAAGTATACACCTTCATTGTCCCCAATACACATGTGACATGTACCCTTCAAGGGTCCACAACTCTCACATCCTGCCCAGTGCTCACAGGGCTTGAGTCCCATCACCATCCTTGTCTGTACATCCCCCCACCTCACCCACCACTTCTTGGTTCATCTGCCCGCACTGGTGCAAGCACGTTCCCTGCTAACTACTAAGTCATGGCACCGCTAGGGTCTGAGAGAAGCCCGCTAAGTGCTTCCTGTGTAGTGGGGAACACACATGACCCCCTGGCTGGGGGTCAGGAAAGTCATACAGGTGATGTTTGAGCACAGAAAAAGAGCCAATGCGGACTTGGGGAAGGAGGTGCTTACAGTGGAAGCCAGCTGATGAAGGGGGCAGAGGGGTGAAGTCAAACCTCTGGATTGAGTAGGCAGAGGATGGGTGCAGGGACACCTAAAAGGCAACTGGAAGTTCTCCTTGGGAGACTGAGGAGATGGGCAGAGGTCCTTAAAGGGCCAGGCTTATCTTTAGCTGCCAGGTCCCAAATAGAATATTCCCCTGAATCTCCACAGGGACATACATCCCCACTTGCTCACCATACCCAGTTAGTCACCCATATGGCATCGCCCACAAACATTTGCTATACCCCATCTTCTACCCAAACACACCCACAATGCCCAGTGTCTTGCCCCCTCCTCCTCAGCTTAGACCCCTTCACAGTCAGCCTGCATCCTCTCACCCACTCCAGGAATTCCGTGCCCTCCAGCCTGGGCCCTCAAGTCTTGGCTTAGAGGTCCAGACACCTACTCTATGGGAGGTAGGTGGGGAAGTAGGGCTCTGTCTTTCTGAACCTTGAAGTCAACACACATTGCAATTGCCCACAGTCTCATAGGTTCATAAGGAAGCGCCCGGCCCCGGCCGGTTTGGCTCAGCGGTTAGAGTGTTGGCCTGAGGACCAGAGAGACGGGGATTCGGTTCCCGCTAAGGGCACATACCTCGGTTGCAGTTTGTCCCCGGCCCTGGTTGGTCGTGCGGGTGGCAGCCACTCGATGTGTCCCTTTCACGTCGATGTTTCTCTCTCTCTCTCTCTCTCTCTTCCTCTCTCTCCCTCCCAGTCTATCTGTACAAAAAATGGAAAAATGTCCTCGGGTGAGGATTAAAAAAAAATAAAAATAGCCCTGGCCGGTTTGGCTCAGCGGTTAGAGCGTCCGCCTGCGGTCCGGAGAGACCCAGCTTCGGTTCCCGCTAAGGGCACGTACTTCGGTTGCAGTTTGTCCCCGGCCCTGGTTGGTCGTGCGGGTGGCAGCCACTCGATGTGTCCCTTCACGTCGATGTTTCTCTCTCTCTCTCCCTCCCACTCTATCTGTACAAAAAATGGAAAAATATCCTCGGGTGAGGATAAAAAAAATAATAATAATTAAAAAATAATAATAATAAAATAAAAATAAAAAATAAATTAAAAAATGGAAAATGTCCTTGGGTGAAGATTATAAAGGAAAAAAAAAAAAGGGAAGTGCCCATTTCCTAACCTAATCACTTCGGTCTTCTTTCCCTGAACCTGTGCCACCTGCGCCGTCCACCTAAAATGCTTTGCCCAAACCACTCTTCTCCATCTTCGTCTCGGGAACACCTTTCCACAGCCTCCCTAGTTCTCAGTTCTGAAGGCACTTCCTTGAGGAGCCCTTCTGGATGCCAGCCTACGTCACGCTTCGGTAAACGGCTCCCCAAACCCCCATTTTCCTTCGTTATCACAGTTCCTACTTTGAAATTCTTCTATAATTGCTTGTGTGATTATTTGAGTCAAGTCTGTCATCCCTACTTCAGGGTGAGCTCAGGGAAGGCAGGGATGGTGTCTGTTTGTCTCCTGTGCCTGAAACAGAGTAGGCACTCAGTAAATATTTTTGAGATGATTGGCACTGCCAGACACGCTCACCACACCTCACCACACACCGATGAGGCTGCAGGCTCTACAGAAGGGCCCTAGCCTAGGGCAAAGCCAGGCTCCTAGTCTCAGATACGGGGCCTAAAAGGGGGAGTAGATAGGAGCGTGCGGCCCCAGGATAACAAAGGCTGATCCAAGTTGCCCTGGGAGGCATAACTGGCTTGGGAGACCTGAAAGACTGGAGCCAACAGCAGCTGGGGAGCCCTCCAGGGGGCTGGGCCGTTGGACATTCCAATTTCCATCCCTGCCTGGGGCTGCTCTCTGGTCGATCAGCCGCATCATCCCACACCCGCCCCCGTGCACACAGGCTTTTTCACAGACACTCACACACCCCTGGGGGTCTGGGAGGACTCAGGACTTCAGTGGTGAGAGAAGCTGGCATTGCTGAGCAGGAGGGCGGGGCCAAGGGAGGGGCGGGCAGGTAGGTGCTTTTCTCTAAGGAGCTGCCACTCTGGAAGTTTTCTGTGTAGCCAGCCAGAGCTAGAGACGTGTCCTCACTGAGGCTGCCGAGCGTCCTTCGTCTCCTTTTTGCCTACTCCCTGCTTTGGAAATCAGCCTTGGATACCTGCTCGGATTCCAGCATCCCTTCCTTCTGGGCCCAATATCTGAATCTTGCCTTTGAAACCAGTCCCAGGTCCCTTCCCTTGGGTGCCTGCCTGGTGTCTCCCCAGGGGCCCGCATCCTGGGCTATGGCCCAGAGGGCAGGCCTGGGGCCTAGGCGGCTGAAGGCTGTGGCCATTCTGCTTTTGCTTGGATTATTCCGGTCCGGGCTGGGTGAGTATGTATGGTTAGGGTAAGGGGAGGGGTGATACACAGAGGCCAGGGTATAACCCATTTCTGGGGCACGTCCCTTATTCTGGGCTCAAGAACCCCCGGCTTCCTAGCTCTTGGCCTCTCTCTTTCCCTTTAGCTTTGACTTCCTGGGGGAAGGGACAGCTCTCCAGGCAAGTGGCACGTGCTAAAAAGTCTGGGGACTTTGGTCTTCCCTGCTTACCCCTCCCTCTCTTGCCTTCCAGGAGCTGCCGGGGCTGGGGCTGAAGGTGAGGCTTGGGGAAAAGGAAATGGGGGAGGGGAAGGGACACAGATTGAGATTCCCATGGAGTGTTTAACAAGTGCCTGACCTTCTCTCTGCCAGTCTTGTCTCACCCACCGGTAATCATTTTATTAAATCGTTGTCCCCATGAAATTATTGTCCCCCACCCGCCCCCATAGCTCTGAGACTGGGATTATAGCCCTCATTCTACAGATAAGGAAACCGAGGTGCAGAGAAGTGATTTGCCCAAAGGCACACAGCCAGTAAACGGCAGAGCTGGGATTTAAACTCCTCACATGGGTTGTTTTTTCTTTTCTTTTTTTCTTTTTCTTTTTTTGGTACGTGCCCCTAGCAGGAACCAAAACCAGGACTCTGGTCCGCAAGTCAATGCTCCAACCGCTGAGCCAAACCGGCCAGGGATTTTTTTTCTTTTTCTTTTTTGACATGGGTTGTTTTGAGGGAAACAAACCAAGGGTCTCCTTTCTTCGAAGATTATCACCAGACTCTGAGTCGAGGTTCTCAGTGCTGGCTTCACTACTTACTGGCTGTGTGGTTGGTCAGCACCCTCACCTCTAAAATGAAGTTGATTAGTTTACCTCCTGGGGCTGTATGGGGAGTGCAGATAAAGGAAGTGAAAGCCCCTTAAGGGCCTAGCACGGTTGGAAGTCACTAAATGGTAGCTATTGTCTTTATTATAAGAGGAGGAGGAGCCTGGCTGGACAGTTTTCTCTGCTCCTGGGAAGGTGACTTTGTGAAGGGCAGTTGGGTCTTGTTCCAAACAGCTAGCCTCAGTGGGGGCAGGGTGGCCTTCACACCGTGGGAGCCCAGCTGTTGTTCCTTTATTCAATACCTGCATCCGTGACTCCGTCTTTGGCGGCACTGGGGACATGGGGGTCTGCTCTGGTCCCTGTCCTTAGGGAGTGTCCAGGTTGGTGTGGTTGAAGCAGACGGGACCAGCGTGTGATTGGGACGAGTCAGGGAAGTATGGGCCCTGGGAATTCTGCACTGCCTGACTCAGTCAGCAGGGCTGGGCAGCCTGAGGAGGGGCTGCCACAGGCAAATTGAAGTTTGCCAAGCAAAGTAGGGAGAAGGAAAGGTATTCCAGGCAGCGCTCTGAATGAGCCAAGGTTTAGAGGTGAAGTACACGGCCCCATGTCTATGGCAGGAAGTGTCCAGAGGAGGGCTGGAGGAGGCGGCACTGTTATGGAAGGCCTGGAATGTATCTTAAAGGCAGTGTGAATCCCGGGAAGGATTTAAGGGGGTGTCACCTGGCCAGACTTCTCATTTATAAAGGTCTGCATATTTATAAGGGGTGGACTGGATGGAAGGCAGGAAGACCTGAAAGGAAAGAAGTTGTATGAGACCTGGGTGAGGTAATGGGTCAAAGATGGCAAGGTGGCAAAACTGACCACGCCTGGTAAGCAGTAGGATGGGGACAAAAGGGTGGCCAGCTTCTATGAACTCCCTTCCCAAGCTCCAAACCAGATCTCCTGGGCTTTCCTGGCAGTGGCAGGGCTAAGGACATGGTATGGAGGCCCCAGAAGGGCCTGACACCCTCCCCTTCTTCCCTGGGCAGCCTCCTGCGGTGTGGTCTCCCAAGCACGCATCACAGGTGGTAACAGTGCAATCCCTGGCCAGTGGCCCTGGCAGGTCAGCATCGTCTACGATGGCATTCACGTGTGTGGTGGTTCTCTCGTGTCTGAGCAGTGGGTGCTGTCGGCTGCTCACTGCTTTCCAAGGTACAAACTGGGTTGGGGGCAAGGTGGGGAAGTCAAAAGTAGGACGGAGTCAAAATTCCGGAATCAATTTAGATCAGAGGTTGGGGTTCTTGGATTGGGTCTAGGGGTATCAATAAAGTCTGAAAGACCAGTCAGGAGTGAAGGTCACAGGATAAAACGAGGGCACAGTTTGCGACTTACAAAGCCCTTTGCCTGGGATCAGAATCTGGGGTTGGATACCAGAAGGCAACAGGGATCAAGGAACCAGGACAGGTCTCCTGGGTCCCAGACTTGGTCCCCTCTGCTTGCAGGGAGCACCGCAAGGAAGACTATGAGGTGAAGCTAGGGGCCCACCAGCTGGGCTCCTACACTCCTTCGGCTGAGGTCCGCACTGTGGCGCAGGTCATTTCCCACACCAGCTACCACCACGAGGGCTCCCAGGGGGACATCGCACTCCTCCGTCTCAGCAGCCCCATCACCTTCTCCCGCTACATCCGGCCCATCTGCCTCCCTGCAGCCAACGCCTCCTTCCCCAATGGCCTCCAATGTACTGTCACTGGATGGGGCCATGTGGCCCCCTCAGGTGAGGTGGGCACTGATGTCTAGAGGCATGGAGGGAGCCTGACTCAGGGCAGGCGGCCCGGGCTAAGCATCTTTTGTCCCCACAGTGAGCCTCCAGTCCCCCAGGCCACTACAGCAACTTGAGGTACCACTGATCAGTCGTGAGACATGTAACTGCTTATACAACATCAATGCCAAGCCTAATGAGCCCCACTCTATCCAGCAGGACATGGTGTGCGCTGGTTATGTAGAGGGGGGCAAGGATGCCTGCCAGGTAAATGCAGGGGGTCCAATGGAACAAATGAGATAAGTGCATTGTGGGAAATGAGGGCTGTCACGGGTGACTGGAGGCCTAGGGCCTGGTCCTGACAGCTGTTGTATGGCTTTTCTCCTCAGGGTGACTCTGGGGGCCCACTCTCCTGCCCTGTTGGGGGCCTCTGGTACCTGGCAGGCATTGTGAGCTGGGGTGATGCCTGTGGGGCCCCCAACAGGCCTGGTGTGTACACTCTGACCTCCAGCTATGCCTCCTGGATTCACCACCACGTAGCAGAGCTCCAGCCTCGGGTGGTGCCCCATATCCAGGAGTCGCAGCCCGATATCAACCTCTGCAGCAAGCATCTGGCCTTCAACTCCACCCCACGCCAGGGTGTGCTGGGGCTCATCCTTTTGCTGCCACTAGCCCTGACCCTGGGCCTCCTCCACCCATGGTGGGAGCACTGAGCTGCTCGCCCTGGGAGCTGACTGTTCCCAGGACTGCCATACTGTACCCAAGGACAGACGCCTGTTCCCAGGAATGGACCTGGCCTCTCCCTGACACTTGGGGCCCGAGGCTTGTCACTCCTTCCTCCCAGGACCCTGCTGGAATTCAGAGCACCGTCCTCACCTTTGAGCCCATTCTCCTGGGTTTGTTCTTTGGGACTATAACCCATAGCCAGGAGTTTTACTGCCTGTGGTGCTGGCTAAAACCTCTGGCCACGTACTGCCCACAGCTTATTGGTTGGGCTGCTGTGGAACCCCCAAGGAGCCTTCGCTAAGAAATGGGCCCTGGCTCTTATGTTTCTAGAAGACTGGGCAGCTGCCCAGCTGACTGCTGCTGAAGGGCTGGCTCCCCGACCTGGTCCCTGCTTTGCTCTGCCTGGTCAGCCCCATCACGTCGCCCTTCTGTCTTCTGGGCTGGGGCTGCCCCTGAGCAGCACGTTTCGAAGGACAGAAAGAGCCTCAATCTTGCCCTATTGGCTGCCATGCCCCCACTGAGCCCTGATTTCTGGACTCCGGAGGACTGAGCCCCCACCGGAACTGGGCTTGGGCTTGGATCTGGGATGGGGGAGGTAGAAGGAACAGGAAGAAATAAAATGTTTTGAGCACAACTGGCTGTGTGGGACATGCCACGAAGAACATCAGCTCTTGGCCTCTTCCTCCCACTTCCAAAGTCCAGAGCCAGCGGCAGAACTTACTTTATTAAAAATGATGAAAGAGGCTGTACATATTTACAGGTTGGGGGGCAAGGAGGCATGGGTCCGGCAGCAGGGGCGCAGGTCACTCACTTCTTGGAGAGTTTGACTTGCTTGTGCTTTGGGGGTGCCCACTTAAGGCAGACAGAGTCCACTGTGGGGAGAAGAGATATGAGAGAGAGGCAGGGCCGGGCCTCTGGGCCCAGGCCAGGTTTCACCTCTAGGAGAGAACAAGGGCAGACAGTCCTGGGGAGGGGGCAGGGAAGCCCAGGTATGAGTAGCCTGCCCCAGGCTTTGGTCCTGGGAGCTGGTCAGACTGGTTTAGGATCATGTGACAGCAAAAAGGAGGCTGTGGCTCCCTGTAGTCCTTACACCTACCCCCTACCACACACACCCTAGGTAGCCCCCCATCTACCTGTTATGGGTGGTTTCTTATACTGAGCACTTTTGAGATGTTCCTCTACCAGCTTGGGTGTGACACAGATGACATGCTGGCCTTTCCAGTACTTGACCATGTTGAGGGACTGTAGGGTGCTGATGATGTCATTCTGGGTGATGCTGGTCATCTGGCTGCAGAAAGGGATTGGAGCAGATGCTGGGAGAGTTCCCTTGTGGGGTCTGGCTGGGACAGCAAAAGGGGACAAGGAGACAGGATCATGGCCAATCTTAAGAGAACCCTTCCCTCTTAGAGAATTCCAGGAAGCCTCCCTCACGAGGTCCCAGATGGACAGCATGCCCAGGACAGGGTTGGGGTCCAGGGCTCTCACCTAAGGTCCTTGATGGACAGCGTGCCACGGAAGTCTCGAAGAATCTCCAGCAGGACCCAAGACCAGTAGCTGCGGTAGCTGAGCTTGCCCAGGTCAGACAGTGGCTTCTCAGGGGAGCCTACTGTGCTCTCTAGCTTGGATAGCTCATAACCTGGCAGTGGGAGAAATGAGGGTCCTGAAAAGCCAGCCCCACTCGGGCACGCCACCCCTACCCCAGGCGCCCCTTTCTGGACAGAGGAGCTGCTCACTGAAAGCAATGAGGAACTTCCCGTAGCCACGGCGCTGGTAGGGCGGCAGGGTCAGGATGCAGGCCACATTGTTTCCATCGGGCGACTCCTTCTCCTGCAGGGGTAAGAGGTCAGGACCTCTGGGGACGCTCAGCCCCTACTCCAGTTCATACTCACTGCCTTCCCTCAACTTCGGCTTCCCGACCCAGTACCTTAGAGAAGTAGCCGACGATGTGGGCCCCCTGCCTGTCCACCTCGGTCAAGATGTAAAAAACGAAGGGCTCCACGTCGAAGTACAATGTCTTGTGGTCCAGGAAAAGCTTGGCCAGCAGACACAGGTTCTGACAGTAAATCTGAGGGGTGGGGAGGTGGAAGCAGGCACAGGAAGCAAGTACAATGAGCCCATTGAGGCTTGGGCAGGAGCTGCCACCCGCTCTGCAAACACCGGGCTCCACAGAACAGCAACAGCTGGTTTCTGTGTGTAAGTGGACCTGCGCAGCTCAAACCTGTGTTGTTCAAGGCTATGTCCCCAGCACTTGGCACAGGGCTAAGCACAAAGCTGGGTGCTTAATAAATATTTGCTGAATGGATGAGCCCCACGTTTGACGCCGCAGCCTGAGCAGTCTGCAGCTTGGTCATGCTCGTCTGCTGAGCCTCACCTGCTGCAGGCCCAGACATCCACCAGGAGGAACAATGGGACCTTAAGGTTTGGCTTCATGACACAGATCAAGGATCCCTCTGGTGTATACCTTTTATATCCACTCTCATTTGATCCAACAACGTGTCAGCCCAGCATGTCTAGTCTCATTTACTTAAACGAAAACTGAGGCTCTGGGAGGGGAAGTGCTTGCCTGAGACCTCAAAGCTGGCAGAGGGTAGAGCCAGCAAGAATGCCCATGTCTCCTGTTAGAGCCCTTTCTGCCATTCCCTGTGTTGGTGCTCAAGAAGGCAGAGCAGCGGGCAAGGGCCGGGCTCAGAGTGAATATCCCTTCGCCAAGCTAATTATCACAAGGCTGACTGAGCCACGACAGGTCACCAGTAATAACAAAGGCCCATTACTAAGCACCTACTTGACGCCAGGTACCATGCTAAGTATGTGACATTGCTATCTCAGTTATTCCACTAACAACCCTACTAGGTAAATATTATCATGACTCCTGTCTTATAGATGAGGAAACAGGAACAAACAACGTTAAGTAACTTCAAGGTCAGCTGGGAAGTGACGAGGTGATTTGAAGCCATGAGCCACTCAGAAGCATGTCTTCTTCATCTTACACTCCAACTGCCCTTCCACGGGAAGGGGACATTTGGTGAGACAGTCCCAGTCTGACCAGGCAAAGGCCAGGTTTTCAACAATGAGAAAGTAGATTCCCCAATGCCCCACCCTGCCCCATTAATGTCCTTTTGCCAAGAACTGGGGACGTGGCCATCAGAGCCCCAGAGCTCCCAGGCAGGAAATCTCACACACAGCAGTGCCCTCCCAAGGAAAAACAAGTATCTTTTCTTGAGGCGGAAAGAGAAAGCCCTTCTAGAAACAGCTTCAGGCATGACAATCTCTACTCTGGGTTCCAGAAGTGCCCAGACCTAAAGTACCCCATCAGGAGAAAAGTCCTCAGGGAAATAATGAAAATCAGCCCCCAAGGCTGGCACCACAGGCCAAGTGCCAGGCCCAGCATGATCCGGGGGTCTCTCCCTAGCATGGCTGCTCGCCCTCAGGCTGGCCTCTGTCCCGATGACAGTGAAGAGTGTCCAGCAGGGCCAGTGCCCCCCCCGCCCCTCGGCTCCTGGGCCCTCCAGCTCACCTTGTGGTCTTTGCCATCCACCTCGTACACAGAGATGTTGCTCTTGCGGTAGATCTCCTTTCCCGGGGGCTGCCGCCACTGACACTGGCCCTGGGGTGGGGATGGGGAGACAGAGGCTTGAGACCCTAAGGTTCTCTGCCAGGTGCCCTTCATCCGGCCCCATGTGGCTTGCAGCGTATCTCTGCTTCTCTGTTTCCCTATACGTAGATCTTGGGCTCAACACTTCACCCACATCAAGTAATCCTCCCAACCACCTGAGGAAACAGAGCCTATTTTACAAATGAAGAAACTGAGGCACAGAGGGACTAAGCAACTAGCTCAAGCATCACACAGCTGGGTGGCTCAAGTCCAGGCCGGCCTGACGCTAGAGGACTCTGATCCATGACAATGGTGTTTCCTAAACTTCATACATTTGCCTCAGATTCCACCCTTTGAGAAGCAATGCAGCTACATGAATGATGAGATGCCCCGCCCTGGCAGCTCCCATGTACACGTGCCTCCCACCTGTCCACACCTTCCAGTCCCGTCGCTTAGGGGCTATGCTTGCTTCTGCTTTTGCACTGAGGAACCTGCACTGGGCTGGCTTTGATGCACACATGGCGAAGGGCAAGGGATCTGAGGAAGGGTAAGGGCAGGGATTACTGTCCCCATTCCCCAGAAGAGGAAAGTGAGGTCTGAGGAGGGGCAAGTTGGCCTGTTACTCCACAAAGACACAGGAATCAGGTCTCTCGACCCACGGACAGCTGTCCTTGTCCCCCACTCCTGTGAACCTGTCTCCCAGTGCTGCGGTGTCAGCACGTCAGCAGGCTGGCCTGCCTGGTGCCTCACCAGGTGGAAGCGGTAGCTCTTCTCATATTTCATGTACTTGAGACAGTACTCGCAGAGCCAGAGCTTGGGCTGTTTCCCATAGTCTTCAGGGAACGGTGAAAAGTACCAGGCATCGATCTCGTAGTTCCCGATGTGGATCTTGTCCACATACTTCACCTTGGTGATCTGTGAGGGCAGTGGGTGGCTCAGTCAGGGCAAGGACAGCGGGGGAGGGGGAGCACGCAGTCGGGACCCATCCCGCTTACCGCCTCATGTTCCTTCTCCAAGGCTGCTGTTGTGGGGTCCATCTCTGCGTAGGTCTGGGCAAGGAAAGAGCAGTGAACAGAGATGAACAGAAGTGGTGGTCAGGCTGTCCCTCCCCTGTCCCAGAACCCACAGTGCTTCCCTCCTGTCATCAAGGCCTCACATCCTGACTGACAATAACCATATGAATAACTAACTTGTTTTACCTTGTTCTGAAGCTGGTTTGTCCAAGCTCCTCTCCTGTCTGCCCGCCCACCTATATCTCTCAGACATTCCCGAGGCCCAAGTTTGGATCTTTTGCCAGGTGAACAGGGCTAGAACTAGGAGGCCTGGTTACAGTTCTTGGGCTGGTAAGAGCTTCCGCTTTACAATGGGATCGATCCAGATTAGCCAGAGTTGTAAGACATGACATAACGGATCTTGTCTTTCATGCTCACAACGGGAACTGCTGCCAACTCCCCAGTGTGCCTGGACCTCTTTCCTGAACACTCGAAGAGCTGCCAGCCTATGGGACTGCTCCCAGAGGTCCCTCCAACAGGCGTATCAGACTCCTAGTGTCCAGCAGGGAACTCATTCCTTCCTCCACGTAAACCTGTTCCTCCTCCTGGATTCCCCATCTCACTGGGAGCATCACCCTCAGTCCCAATGCCTGAGACTCATGCCTGAGTCTTTAGGGCCTGCCTAAAGACTCCTCCCTGTCTTGGTCTGACATTCAAATTTTTTTTTTTTAATCCTCACCAGAGGACATTTTTCCATTTTTTGTTCAGGTAGAGTGGGAGAGAGAGGAACAGAGAGAGAAACATCGACGTGAAAGGGACACATCGAGTGGCTGCCATCCGCACGACCAACCAGGGCCGGAGACAAACTGCAACCAAGGTACGTGCCTTTAGCGGGAACTGAACCCGGGTCTCTCGGGACCGCAGGCCGAAGCTCTAACCGCTGAGCCAAACCAGCCAGAGCCTGACATTCAATTAATGGCCAAGTCTTGTCAACTCGACCTCCTTGTAATCTCTGGAATCAGTCCCTCTCTGGAGTACCATCTCAGGTCTGGACAATTGACTAGGTCTCCTTAGATTCCCAGACTCCAGCCTCAGCCCCTTGAAATCTACACTGCTATCAACCATTCCTTTTCCAATCTTTCTACCTCTGCACATAAAGTTCCTTCTACCTGCAATGTCCTTCCTTATCCTATTGTTACCAGCAAATGCTTACTCAACCTAGTACAGGGGGTGAGCCAGGTGAGCGCATGATAAGGCAGAACTCTGTGAGCTATCGTGTGTGATTGTTTTTACCGTCCTCTTTCCTGTCCCTCCAGGCTCAGCATCCTTCCCATCCCCTCCAAATGGCCGGACTGGATTCTTCCGATGCAGAATATACCCTGTCCTTCCCAAGTCAGGAACACAGTGATCAACAATAACCTCTAACTGCCCCACTTGGATTCCCCTATTTTCCAAATTCGTAGAAAGCAGGTACTAAGGGTCATGTCACACTCACAGCACATCCTGTTCCTAGGCCAGACTCTGTAGGAGGAACCAAGTACAGCCTGACAATGAAGTGGGGACCCAAGAAGGCCTATGACCTATACCAGAGTAGACAGCAGCTTTGCCCTGTAGGTGAGAAGGAAGAAAGGAGCCAATGTTTTACTTAGAAGCCCCTTCCACAAAGCACTTTGCCTGTGTGGCCTCATGTATACAGCACTCACTTCTATTTTACACAGAAGTAAACAGGGAGAGGTGAGGTCACTTGCCCTTGGGGATGAGCTAGCTGCCATTATTCCAAGTGCCAAGCACTCCACAGGCATTATTTCATTTAGTCCTCACAATAAGCCTGAAACAAGATTGCTTATTGTCCATACTACACAAACGAGGAAACTGAGGCACAAAGAGGTGAGGTCACTTGCCCATCACAGTAAAGGTACTCAGCACAGTTGGGCACAGGCCCCGGTCTGTCCAAATCCTGAGTGAGTTTAATCCCTGCAAAGATGAAGGAAGGAGGATATTCCTCCTCACGCCTCCTTAAAACACAGTTCCCAACTCTCGCAAAGCACAGTCCTCTTCTGCAAATGCATTAAAGAACTACAAAAACACTACTTTTCTTAAATGCTGCAATTTATTTAGAATTAAATAATTAGGTTCTGAAGAATCTTGCTGCCTGTTAACTTGATGATTATCCGTTCTTTGATTTTATCACCACTGGCTCGTCATCCACCCAGCTGATTGCCAGCATAGAGGTACATCTCTGAGACTTAATTGGCCAGTGCAAATTGGAGAACTGAGAGAACCCCAGATCTGTGCTGTCCGATAGAGTAGCCACTGGCCACATGTGGCTATTTAAATTTAATTTCATTAAATAAAATTTGTTAGTCCACTAAACACAGTTCAAGTTTTCAATAGCCACATGTGGTTAGTGGCTACTCTATTGGACAGTACAGAGAAAAAACATTTATCACAGGAATTTCAATTGGACAGTGCTGCCTTAGACATTGAGGGGTCATTTTACTTCAGGGTATTTCCATTGTTTTTTATTACAAACCACAGTCGGAAGTGCAGTTAGCACTGCAAAGAAGTTGATGTTTATACATATACATACATGAATTTGTATGTGAAATAAAAGCTTCTCAAAATAATACTTACCTTTAATAAAGTGTAATGCGCTTTGGTATTTTCTATTTTATCCTATTTCTTTCTTCCATTTAAAAAATGTAAATGCTGGCCACAACCCACTGAACTAATTTGGTAATCTACTAAGAGTTGTGCCCCACATTTAGCAAAACATTGCTGTAAAACACAGGAGCACGTAGAAGAAATTGCATTAGTTGAAACTACTGAATGTCTGTGTGCCTTGAGAGCTCAATAAATCCAGTTCTCTTGCACTGGCGGCTTTAAATTAAAAAAAATAAATAAATAAAAACTGAGGCTCAGAGTGGGAGGAAAAATAACATTCCAGGGGCAGGCTGGTTTGATGAAAAGAACCTGGGTTTTGGAAACAAGTGGTCTGAGTTCTAGGACGTGGTTACTGATTTGTGCCCTGAAGTTGGACAATGGCAAATCTCATTCCTGAATGGGTTCCTAAACCTACCTGTACCTCTCTAAACTGGGGATAATAATGCTTACCTCACAGGGCTGTTGTGAAACTTCAGAGATCATGCATTTAAACACAGCCTAAAACTTTGGGTAACAAGCCAATTATTGTTTGCCATTATTATTATTATTATTTTTTTATCCTCACCCGAGGATATTTTTTCCATTTTTTGTTCAGATAGAGTGGGAGGGAGAGCGAGGAAGAGAGACAGAGAAACATCAATGTGAAAGGGACACATCAAGTGGCTGCCACCCACATGACCCAACCAGGGCCGGGGACAAACTGCAACTAAGGTACGTGCCCTTAGCGGCAACCGAACCCAGGTCTCTCCGGACCGCAGGCCGATGCTCTAACTGCTGAGCCAAACCGGCCAGGGCTTGTTTGCCATTATTATTCTAATTCCAGCCCACTCTTTTACTAGCTGTGTGACCTTAGGTATGTTACCTAACATCTGAGCCTGTTTCTTCATCTACAAAAAATATATACAGGGTGTGACAAAAGTAGCTTTACAGTTGTATGTGAAACAGTTTATTTTTGTATTATTTATTGATTATTGTATTACTTTCCATACAAACAACTGTAAACCTACCTTTGCCCCGCCGTGCGAGTGTTTGTGTGTGTGTATGTGTGTATACATCCCTGTAGTGCTGAGCTGTCAAGGAGGACTTGATGAGTTTATACACTGTGTACACAGCATGGTTCTGAGAGCTAGCAAGTGTATAGTATTATTCATTCTCTTCTTCCCTTTAGACTTCAAGCTGGTTTGTCTAACATGGCACAACTAATAGGAGACAAAAGAGACTATCGGAGCCCTGGCCGGTTTGGCTTAGTGGTTGGAGCGTCGGCCTGCAGATCAGAGTCCCGGGTTCGGTTCCCGCTAGGGGCACGTACCATTAAAAAAAAAAAAAAAGAGACTATCGGCTCAGGAGGCGAGTTCCAGTCCCAGCTGTGCCACTTGCTTACTGTGCAACTGTAGCCAAGCCCTTCCCCTCTCTGAACCTCAGTTTTCTCATCTGGGAAGGGTACGTTGGAAGAGGTAGGTAAAGGCCCTGGCAGGTTTGGCTCAGTGGTTAGAGCATCAGCCTGCAGACCAGAGAGTCCCAGATTCAGTTCCCGCTAAGGGCACATACCTCGGTTGCAGTTTTTCCCGGCCCGGGTTGGGGTCTTGTGGGTGGCAGCCACTCGATGTGTCTCTCTCACATTGATGTTTCTCTCTCTCTCTTCTTCCCTCTCTCCCTCCCGCTCTATCTGAAGATAAATACAAAAATGTCCACGGGTGAGGATTAAAAAACAAACAACAAAAAGAGGTAGGTAAAGTCTCTGACACACTATAGGAGCTTAAAAAATGAGAGCTGTTGTGGTTCTGGCACTGGGACCCAAAGGAGTTAGCAGAGGCAGTTGAGCCTCCTGGGGCCCTGGGGAAGGGGAGAGAGCCCGGACCTTCTGCACATGGTTGATCTCATCATGCTTGCGCTTTTGGTTTCGAGTGATCTTGCGCTCAGGTTGCTCAGCCAGCTCGCTCAAGTACTTCTCTGAGTTCTTCTGCACGGCATCCTTCACTGTCTTGGTCAGCGCCAGCCGGTTCTTGTCTACCCACTCGTCTAGTCGCCGATTAACTGTGAGGATGTGTCATGAGGGTGCTGCCCTTCCACCCCTCTCCCCCCACCCAGGCCCAGATACCCCTAGTCACTCACAGCCCACATAGTGTACATAGAATTCCTCTCGGCCCTCCTGATCATTCACTCGAGACTGGATCACTTCAGCAGAATCTGTGAAGAAAAAAGCTAGGGTCATCAGGAAGGCAGAGCTGGAACACCGAGAAGCCGTTTCCAGATCTCACGTGGAAGCTAACCTCACCTGTCCACATCTGCCATTCAATTCAACCACTGCCTGTGAGGTACACCAGGTCAGGAATGTTATTCTAATTTTGCATTTGAGAAAACTGAGGCTTACCCAGGCTCACAGATTTGAAAAGTGGTTAGAGCTAATACTTAACTGAGTTTAAGCCTGAGTCCAAATTCAATGCTTGGTTTACTATATTGTTGTTTATTTGTTCAAAGGTCATGAGGGCTGACTCTGGAATCAGACAAGACAATCTGGGTTTATATATAATTCCAGTTCCCCATCTCTTAGCTATTTTAACTAAGCAAGTTATTTTGACTTTCTGAGCCTGTTTCTTCATCTGTAAAACAGAGAGAATAGTGCCCACCTCAGAGGGTGAGTTAGTGCCTCTAAAGCAATATAGTGACTGACAACAAGCAGACCATTCAGTAAATGAGGAAACCAACAACTAGGTGTCTGGCCCTCTGCTTTGTTGTTACTGGATACAGAGGATAGGACAATGGATTACAAGCAATCCTGCCCTCCAGAAGTTCTCACTTTGATGGTGAGGGCACAGACAGAAAATGACAACAATGTTACACCATGGCTGGGGTATGAACATTGCAGGAACACACAGAAGGGAATGACTCACTTTGCCTGAAGGGAATCAGGAATAGCATCACAAGAGGATATGATGTTAAAAGGATGAGTAGGAGCTAGGCAGGTGTGCAAGGAGAAAGGAAAGGGCAGAGGGCACAGGTGGCCAAAGGTACAGCGTGGCGTTTGCTAGGGATGGTGAGAAAACAAAGAGAATGCCATTCTACGGAATCATGAAGGGCGGGAAGGAGAGAGAGGGGAGGGAAAGGTCTTTTTTTAGTTCTGGGAGGTCCTCTCCGCTGGTGGTGGTAGGGGACAGGTGGAAGGGGAAGTCGCAGAGACAGAGACAGGAGAGACCAGTGAGGAAGCAAGATTAACAAGAAAAGGGAATGAAGCCTAACGTAGGGTAAGGAAGTGGTCTGGGAGTTCTATATACACAAGGATTTGGTGATTGCTTGACTGGTGGGGTTTGTAGGATGGCCCGAAACTCCGCGCTCTTTCCGCAAGCCCCGCCTCCCACTACTCCCGGCCCCTCATAGAACCACCCACTCCCTGTAAACACCGCCCCCTGGCCCTGGACTCCGCCCTCACGCCAGGTGCTATCCGGACGCCGGCACAGGTAAGTCTCTCCGATCTCCACGGTGACTTCCGGCTCGCCGCGCGCCGGGTTCGGCGGGGAGATGCGACCCGGGGATGGGGCGGCCCCTTCAACCGCCGCATTCTCCCCGGTCCCGGGCTCGCCCTCCCCCGCGACCCCTGAAGTCGCCGCCGCAACCGCTGTAGCTGCTCCCTGGGCCGCCATCGCTGTAGTGGAAATGACGCCAGATCCCGGCGCCGCGCAGCCCTTTTGGCTCCGGGTCAGCGCCGCGTGGCGGAGGCCGCGGTTGGCTTGAGGGCGGGGTCTGTGACGTAGCAGGAGCGCATTGGCCAATGTGCCTGTCTCCGCGGCGCCAGGACAAGCTGACGTTACTGCGCCCAGTGCCCTGGAGTTTCGGGTGGAAGTATGGCTGCGCCCCACTGAAGAGAGGACTTTCCTGATGTGATGGTTCAGCTCGATGTTTTAAAGGCCCCAGTGCCTGAGGAAGCCGAGACGTGCCCAGTCTCAGGGGGTGCTGTTCCCACTTTAACTGGGCGGAGCCAGAGCATTCTCCCCGGCTGCCTGATTGTAGAGCTGTGGGCCTGGAATTGACACCCATCTCTGCACCGCCACTTCCGCCAGCCTCGTACCGGTCACCCCTTTTTTGAAGATTGAAGAAATGGCCGCCCGGCCGGTGTGGCTCAATGGTTGAGCTTCGACCCATGCAGCGAGAGGTCGCCGGTTGGATTCCCGGTCAGGGCACATGCCCAGGTTGCGGGACAGGTCCGGGGGCGGGGGGGGGGGGGCCGCAGGCAGGAGGCGGCCAGTCTATGTTCGTTCTCTCTCGATGTCTGTCTTTATCTCTCTCCTTCCCTCCTTCTCAAGTCAATAAAGAAAAAGAGAGGGGGGGCCTTCCTTGTTCAGGATGGTTAAAGGGTACAAGGGGTGGGAAAAGCTGGAAGGGTGTGTCCAGGGACAGTCAATAAGTTACTTACAGAACCAAGCCTTTCAAAAGAATGGACTAGGCCCCCCAAACCAGACGTGCGCTAAAAAAAAATTAAAAAACAAAACAAAAACAGACGTGCCCTAAAAAATTTTTTTTAAATAAAAAAAAACAGACGTCCCCTGACCAGAAACTAGCCAGAGGATCTTGGGTTTAGCAAGTGAGGAATCCTGGGTTCTGACCCTACGCTAGGTAAGTTGTACAAGTGTGTCCATTCTCAGAGCCTTGGTAAAGGTTAAACTATATATAACTGTACAAGCCATAATAACACCCTGTGCCCAGCTGGTGTGGCTCAGTGGATTGAACCCTGTCCCATGGACTGAGAGGTCCTGATTTGATTCCTGGTCAGGGCACATGCGCAGGTTGTGGGCTTGAGCCCAAGGGGGTGTGCAGGAGGCAGCTGATCATTGTTTTTCATATTGACGTTTCTATCTCTCCCTTCCTCTCTAAAAAATATCAATAAAACATATTTTCCCAAAAAAAATAATTTCCTTTCTAAAAAATCACTTAAAAAATATTAAACTGGCCCTGGCTGGTTTGGCTGAGCAATTAGAGTGTTGGCCTGCAGACCAGAGTTCCAGGTTCGATTCCCACTAAGGGCACGTAGTTCGGTTGCAGTTTGTCCCCACCCTGGTTGGGTCATGTCGGTGGTAACCACTCAATGTGTCACATTGATGTTTCTCTTCCTCCCTCTCTGAAGATAAATACAAAAAAATAATAATTAAACTGTGTATTCATCTACCGCTTATGTGTTTAAGGCAAGTGCACTCCAGTGCCAGACAGGATAGGTGCTCAGTAAACATTCCTTTTGGCCACTCTGAATATTCGATTTCTAATTTGGTTATTGGACTTAGAAACGATTCTAAGAGTAGTGAAATGCTCAGGACCTGAGAATGGGACACAGGTTACAAATCAAGAAATATCTGAGTTAGGTCTTTGTGGGGCTTGACAGTGTAAATGCTGGTAACTTGGCCTTTGGGAAATGGAGTTTGGGAGAGGGACAGTGAATACCAGGTGTCTGGCAGCATAAAAAACAAAAAACCAGAAGAAATAAAAAGGAAAGAAAAAATTAAAATCATAATGCCTGCCCCCATTCTCCCCCTATTCAAGATTGTTATTCTGTCTACCAAGGTTCTGGTGCCTCACTTGACTTCACCTGACATCTTCAATTAGGGGTGCTGTCCCTTCTAATTAAGAATTACCCAAGGCTTTGTAAATCCCTGACCAGGGTCTCCACCAACCTCCTCACTGTTCTCCCTCCTATCCACCAGTCACCAGTAGTTCTAATGTGCAATCTGACTTTTCTCCAAGAACTATAAAAATGTTTCGCCCAGGTCCCCTAGAATCACCTTTTGCTTCTGTGTGCCAGATTACATTATATGTGTTTCCAAAATATAGCACCAGAGGTTCTTTGGTGAACTGCCCCTCTGGCTAAGGGAGGTGTTTTGCCTCAAATAGCTGTAAACTACTTCAAGTACCTCCCAGCACAGGTACTAACCAGCGTCTCTGGAGCTTAGCTCTCTTGCCTCCAACTCTGTGGCAGAACTTACTAGCTCTGGACTTTTGCCTGAGATCACATCCTTGCCTGGCCTCCTGCCCTACCTTTTCCTGCTTCCTCTACTCCCTTCTGGGAGCATTTTCTCAACAAATCACTTGAACACAAATCTCCCTCTCAGGGTCAGCTTCTAGGGAATTCAATCTGATGTGATACATACTTTCCTACCTTAAAACACATCTGTGGATCCTGCTGCCTCCAGGATAAAGGCTCTGCTTCTTAGCTGTACAGTCAAGACCCTGTACCCTGACTGCTGCCACCTACCTCTCCAGCCTCATCCCCTGCACTGCAACCAGCAGGATCTCCGGCCTGGCAAGTCACTGGTTCCCTGTCCCCCCTCCACCCCCATCTCCATCAGCAGTCCCACCAAGCAGGCTCTGGGGCCCTTCTTCCCTGGCAAGATGGGCAGGGGCACCCACCTGTTCTTCCACCCTCCCTACCGGGGCCCTATCATCCTCTGGGGCCTGCCAGGGCACAATTTTGTGTGTTCCTTTCCTTGGCAGCAACAGACAGGTGGTGGGCAATATTTTTAACCTTACTTGGACTCAAGAATCAGGTGGCTTAGGAAGTTGCCCAGTTTGGTGAGAACCTGTGGCTGCCAGGAAGGGAAAAGTCAGAACTGAGGCCTGAAGCTAGGCCAACCGGGGCCTTCAATATTGTCTGGGAAGCAGAAACAGTTGTTAAATGAAATGAATGAAAGGTTTTTGCAATAACTGCCCAAGTCACCCCCACTCCCACAAAATCATGTGCAAGAGACTGGGGCAAATTCTACTCCTGGTCTGCCAGGCTGTCAGAACAGTTAAGAGACTGGGCATAAATTAGTTGAATCCAAAGGCCAAGGGAACCTGAATGGGGTCAGAAACAAAAGCTCACCTGCCCTACCAACACGGGGCCCAAGAGGGCATTCAAAATGTGAACTTTAATAACAGCAGGTCAAAATGGGTTCCCCAGGAACAAGAATGATGAAGCTGGTGCTGGAGGCCTCAAGGGTCCCCGCTTCCTCTCCCCTCCAAGGTCTGGAGGCAGGGAAGCAGTGGACCTTGTTGAGGAGGGGTGGTGCCCAGCTCCATAAAAGTCCATCTGTTTGGTGTCCTAAGACCCAAGATGCAGCAGCGTGTGGAGCAGAGTGGCACACTCTGGCCCAGAAGGTCCTGGCAGGGTGTGTGGCCCAGGCTGGGCAGGCGAGCAGGTGTGTGTGGTCAGATGCGGAAGCTTTCCTCCCTGCCATCGATGTGACGGAGCCGCAGATAGACATCCGTGCCAATGCCCTGCAGGGACTGCAGTCCAAGGGAACCACCAAGGTACTCCGCGTAGGCCCGTGATGTGGGCAGCCCGAAGCCAAAGCTGGGGGTGGGGGGTAGGGGATAGGACAGGAGCTTCAGAGGCTTGAGTCTCCTGGGGCCCCACACCCCTCCTTAATGGCCAGGTGAGGCCTCACCCATGCATAGGTCCTGACTGGCCGCCACTGTGCATGTCCAGGTGGCCAAAGAGTGGGTTGATCCGGGGGTCCTGGGTGCTGGACTCAGCTGTAGTGAAGTGGTAGTCCATAACCCGATCCAGGTCTTTGTGAGCGATTCCCCCGCCCCGGTCTGAAATCCTGGCAGGATGTCAATAATATAAGCTTGGCTCAGCTTGGTGGTGGGGCTCACTACCTCCCAGGCAGACAGTGCCATCCTGTCCCTTCTACTCAAAGGTGGAATGTGATCCACCTAGACCCTTGGACCTTGGTTTTTATAAGCTACATTTCTCTATCCTCACCTCTGCCTGGGCCACTGACTGCTTATACCTTCTCACAGGATTTGACATTTTCAGCCCAGCATCATAGACTGGTTACTCCTGACTCCCCATTCTAGGCCCCTCAGTTGCTAATGAGGACAGGTCCCTGGGGCCTGCATCTGGCTCCAGATTTATTCTTAAACAGCTCATGGCAATCCCAGGACTAGAGAGTATCTTGTCTGACCAGGGACCAAGTCTCAGAGTGGAGCAGGTACTGGCTTGAGATCATACAGCAAGTCAAAAACAGTGCCTGGAACCCCTGTACACCCCAACCCAACTCCCACTCAGGGCAAACCTGATGACGAGATCAATATCGTTGTTGGCAATGGTGATAACCACGTCTGGGACATTGTAGGGAGTGTCTAGGTGACTCTCCATTGTGGCTCTATACGGGAGGGAAAGACCAGTAGTAGGTGGTGGTATCCGAGTCTCACCCCAGTCCCTATCTGTCCTCTTCAAACAACATATCCAGCCTGCCCACCTCATGGCGTTCTTGAGCAGCTCAGGCAGGATGTAGTCCAGCGGCATAGGGATGAAGGGGAATCGAGCAGCCACATGCCCATTGATACGGACGCGGGGAGCATTGCCATATTTGTGCTCACACAGGCGTCTGTGGGTAGGAGCAAGGGTTCAGACCTAGACCAGTGGCTCTCAACTGGAGGCACTTCTTCCATGACCTCCCAGAGAAATTTTGCAATTTCTAAAGATGTTTTTGCTTGTCACACTGGGGAGTGCTACTGACATCAAGTGAGTAGAGGCCAGGGGCCCTTCTAAACATCCTAACAAGCACAAGACAGCCCCTCACAAAACAGAATTATCTGACTGAAAATGTTAATAGTGCCACAGTTAAGAAACCCTATCCTAGACTGTGCCCCAGCAAGGGCTCAGACC